ATGGTGCTCAAAGGTGACCCTGCACATTTTGAGTATGTTTGGCTCAACCTGCTGCTGTGAAGCAGGATTCTCCACCATGAACAGAATCAACAATAAATCTGGATCCAGGCTCAAAATGAGCTCCTTGATATGTGCTTGAGAATGGCTTAGTCTCCGGTTAAACCCAGGTTTAAAGCCTTGCAGGGCAGCCTAAAGCCCACTGCTCTTATTACGACAGAAAAATGAGAGCTCTTTAACGAACACCTCTGACCCCTTTAGTAAACTGTCCTGTTTCAGTAGAGCAGTTTGTTTCATTTTACTGAACCTCATTATAATCGCCGGTTTGTGGTTGTTCCCTCGTCTTTGGAGCCGGTGGCACGCTTCAATGCAGTCACAGTCCAGCTTTATCCCCTTAGACAAGAGGAACGAGACCACCTGTTCCTCCCTAGACTTCGTATTTTTGAGTCATGGCTCACCAGCCGGACAGGGCCCTGCCACTGCGCCGGCATCAGAGCGGGGCTTCACACACAGTCGTGATGATCACATCATTCATTCAGGTGTACTATTCCAAGTCAGCCACTCGGTCTTCCAAAACTGTAATCCCTTTTTCCTTTTCATCATTCAGCAGTCGTAAAGCCTTCACCTCTTCAACCAGGTTCAGAATGGACTTTTGCTTGAGACGAATGGCCAAGGGTTCTTAAGAAAGGAAATCCAACACTTCCTTACCTTCTTAAAATCCTCCAAGCCTGGATTCTTCTTAGGTAAACTCTTCAACACAACAGCCAAGACACCCCTAACCCCACAATGCCACTTTCGCACCTTTGGCACAACTTCTGGTGTAACGGCCTAATCCGTTCAACTGGAACAATGATTCATCTTCAGACATAGCTATAGACATTCATGTCTATAGCTAATCTGGCTATGGAGTTAACCATATTAGAAACCCACTGTTGCACTGGTTAAGGGTCCATGTTTTTTTCTGTCATGACCAGACAGACTGAGGACCCAAGACTTCAACAAGACACAAACATTAACATTTAAAAGATTTAATAAAATAACATTTTCTGGGGGATGATTTACAAGTTTGATATTATTGGAAAGCAAAAATGTCACTCTTACAGGACCAGTACATAAAACATAATAACCTTGAGAAGTCTTGATTCCTGTTTTTGCCCTTACCAGTCACAAATATCTAAATCAAACACTATCATTAAACTAAATAAAATTATAACTTATGTCTTCTGACACAATGACACAAAATATATGTAAAATCATTACACTTGACTGGAAAGAAGATGCAGACATATTTTATTTAATGTTTAAAAAATCTTTTTTTTTTTTTTTAAATAACATTTATTTAAAGGAAAAAAAAAAAAACATGTTTATTTTGGTCCAGAACAGCGCCACCTTGTGTAGGAGGAGTTAGTTGGCTCAAAACATCTGCCCAGGGTAGAGTTATAAACTTTGGAAGAGTAAATACATAAGTGTGATGCAGTAACACCATTTAAACCTGAGGATGGTGCCAAACAGACAGTTTTGGACACCAAAGCTTGACTGTTAGAAATTGTGAAGTGAAAGTGAAAGCCCTTTGGGAAACTCCTCCAACTCCCATTGTCATTGTGACACAGCACACACTGCAGACCATGAAATTGCATTTATGCCTGCAAGGGGGCAGCCCTCAATGGCGTTGAACCGGTAACCTTTGGGATCCAAGTCTGACACCCTAACCGCTCACCCACGACTGCCCTTAATTAACAGTGAATTCTCAATACCTGGAACAGGACAATAAGACGATGCTGTTCATTGTAAAAAAACAACAAAAAACAACAGCATTGATTTAGGGATGTTAATAGTGTATGTCCATGAAGGAGGATTTTTGTTCTGTCTAGTCAATATAGCTCTGGGAATTGATGTCCCACAGCTTGCTGATAGCCCTACGACTTTGCTTTCACAAAAAGACCAGTAGGAATGTTGCCATAAGGTTCTGCTTGATACTTGTAAATTACACTTTATTGGAAAGGAAGGTGAGAGAAAAAGAGGGGATAGGGATTAAGGAGAGAGAGAAATAGAGACAGTAAAGAGTTCATGAAAAGAGAGAACATAAAAAAGAGCAAAAATAGAAACAGAGGATAAAAGTAACTCCTAGAGGTCTGCTTCTATACCTGTAT